CTGATTGGCTCCTTCCTGTTGGGGTTGGGAACCCGGAACACTTCCTGATTGGCTCAGACGCCAGTTTCTGTAACTATTGGCCAGCCAAACTTGGGAGGATTCCCGTTTCAAAATATTTAGCTTTTCTACTTTTCTGTGCTGTTGTCGCTTGCCTTCCTCCTCAGCGTCGTCTGGTGCTGTTTTAATGTTTATTGTTAGTGAAATGGTGTGGTGATGGGAGGAACAATAGAGCATTTTTTTTCTAAGAGATAGACATGAATTCAATCCCATCATGCATTTTTTCCAGCTATATATTCTGATAATCTGCTAAAATAGTAAAAAATGGATATTTTGTGTTATTGGAATTTTAAGTTTAGGGTAGCCCTTGGTACTTGATTACTCAGCTGGCTGAGATTTGTAAGTCCTAGCCAGAGGTTACTACCTTTCATTAAGCACTGATAAATAAATATTTAGCAAGAGAACTTTTGCTTACCATTGATGATATGTGAACTGCTTCATTGCATCCTTGTCCTGTAGGTGAAATTTATTTATTTATTTATTTATTTATTTATTTATTTATTTATTTATTTATTTTATTTTATTTTATTGTTCACATATCATCAATGGTAAGCAAAAGTTCTCTTGCTAAATATTTATTTATCAGTGCTTAATGAAAGGTAGTAACCTCTGGCGTTTAGACTTACAAATCTCAGCCAGCTGAGTAATCAAGTACCAAGGGGCTACCCTAAACTTAAAATTCCAATAACACAAAATATCCATTTTTTACTATTTTAGCAGATTATCAGAATATATAGCTGGAAAAAAAATGCATGATGGGATTGAATTCATGTCTATCTCTTAGAAAAAAATGCTCTATTGTTCCTCCCATCACCACACCATTTCACTAACAATAAACATTAAAACAGCACCAGACGACGCTGAGGAGTGGAAGGCAAGCGACAACAGCACAGAAAAGTAGAAAAGCTAAATATTTTGAAACGGGAATCCCTCCCAAGTTTGGCTGGCCAATAAGAAGGCGAAACTGGCGTCTTCGAGCCAATCAGGAGGTGTTCCGGGTTCCCAACCCCCAACAGGAAGGGAGCCAATCAGTACACAGGTCGGCGAACTCAGGAGGCCGCCGCCAAGTCCCAAGGAGGGGCGCATGTACGGCCTGAAAGACCCTCCTCCACTTGGAGCTCAGAGTGGGGCTGGATTTCTAGCTATGAGATTGTTGCCCACACTAGGGGGGAATTACAGAATGCCCAGACTCTCTCGGCTTTGGCCCCGCGCCTCCCGCGCTTACCGTTCCGGAGCCACCGGCCCCGGCAGTGGCCGCCGTGTCGGCCATCTTGCTCTGGCGTAATGTGCGCGAGCGCAGGGCAGGATGGGACTTGTAGTCGCAGAGCGGGGAGGGCGTGGAGCGCGCGGAGAGCGGGGAGGGCGGGGAGAGCGGGGCGTGGCGGCGTGCACCCCTCTGGGCTTCCCTAAACCTAGGCGGGTGGGGTGTGTGTATCTGAGGCCCCCAGCTCACGTGACCTTCTGTGAGTGGTGGGTTCTTGCCTACCCAGTGAGCCTCTGATTTGGCCAAGAAGATGCGTCCTCGGTCTCACACCTGTTTTTGGTGAAATCGTTTCTCATAAAGAGCACATTCCTGGAACGCTCCAAACTTGGCTGATTGTTAGCAACACCTAGCTGGATCCCATTCGGTCCCACTGACTCACTCCCTGGGGAAGGGGCCTGGAAATCGGTATTGTGAAGCTCTCCAGGTGATTCAATTTGGGGAAACCCTATTTTGTGCTGACGGCCCCGCAGCCCGCCAGTGGCCCACTTGGAACTAGAGCCTTACGATCAGATAGCCCGGGTCTTCCTCTGCATCCCGCTGCCTTCTCCCCCTCAATCCGCAGGTATTTGCGGGGCAAGCCGGGAGGCGCAGGAGGCGGGCATCTGTCCGGTGCCTGCCTCTTTCCCCAGAGCGGTACGTCCACGCGGTGCTCGTGGTTTTCTGTGTTGTACTCGCTCATCAGCCACTTCTGGGTGGGGGTTCTCCGTGTAGGGACGGGGGACCGCACCGCGCCTCATTTTGCTCGGTCTGCGAGTACCTGGGAGGGCGCAGACGCTGGGTTTGAAACCTAACACTCACCAGATGTGAGTCAGGGCACATTACCTAACCTTACTGTGCCTCAGTTCCCTCTTGTGAAACGGGTGGGATTGATAGAAAAGAAAATGAACTAATACACACAAAGGGTCTGGCCCGGTGCCAAACATATAGTAAGTCAAGAAACAGCACATAAAGTTGCTGTTCATTTCCTGCGCCACGCGTGGACGAAAGGCGCACGCCTAGAAGGCAGAGATCTGGGAACCTGCGCCACACTCGCCCCAACCGCTCACCTGAGCCTGGGGGCGTTCCCCGCCCCCTCACCTAGGGCACGTGGGTCGGGGTCTGCAGGGCGGGCCGCGCGCAGCGCGGGGAGGAGTCGGGGCCCAAACTTTAGCTGAACCCAGCACCCAGCTCCTTTGTCTCCCCCGCCCCCTCTTCCCCACTTCCTGCCCAGCTTTAAACTCGGGATCTGCCGCGCGGACTTTGTAAACACGCGGCGCCTGCGGGGGTGGAGACTGGTTGTGTTGAGGCGCCTGGCGGAGGGGTGCACGCCCCTCGGCACAACTGGAGGTGGCGACCCCCACCCCCCCCAAAGACGGAAGCCCGAGGCGGCGGGACAGTGAGGCCACAATCTTTGCTCCGGGGGGCTCACCTGCTATGGAGGTAGGCTTGAAGGCTGGCACAGCCTAGATAGATCGGGTGTCAGCGTCTTCACCTTTCTCTGGGGCCTCCAAACTCAGGCTGGACGCCTGGGGTAGGGGTCCGAGATGGGTGGGTTAAGGAGGTCACCGCTCTGTCATCACCTCCCCGTTGTTGCCCTAAAGGTAGACTCACTTTCTCTCAGAGTGAGCCGTTCTGTACGTATTTGAAGGGCAGAGTAGCCCCCCAGAGCCCCAAGCTCTGTCCGTCCAAGCTGATGTAGAAGCCCAGTGGCCTTCACTGAGTTGTCGTTCTTCATATTTCATACTCCAGACATAGGGGTGGGAGGCGAGTAGGAAGGCAGAACCAACGTGGGCAAGGAGCCTTCGAGTCCTCCTGCCAGGCAGAACGGAGAGGGGAGGTCAGAGGACAGGACTGGAAGGAGGGACCCCTCAGTGTTCGTCCCTCTGGTGTGTCTGATGGGTACAGAAGCCTCTTCTGTGTCTTTTAATGTATTGCCAAGACAATTACCTGCAGAAATTGGTTACCGTTACCAAGGAAGCATAATGGTTTCATTTGCGAACACCGAGCACCTCCTCTGTGTCTAGGGTTTATGGAATGCTGAGGGGCGCCATGATGTTATTCTTCTATAACTAGTGTGGGTCATGGAACAACCGAGACAAAGCACCAAGCTGTGCTGGCTAGCAAGACTTCAGAAAGAAGAGGACATGGAGTTAGAATCTGAGTGATGGATAGTCACCAGGCAGAGAAATGGTAGGAAGTCTTTGGGGGGCACTTGTTCCTTCTGCAGAGCTGAACTGAACCCCGACCGTGGTGTTGGGCATTGGGATACAATGAGGACCCAGAAGGCATTCCTGCTGTTTTTAACCCACCATCTAGGCATGAAGAAGAGGTGGGAATGAACACGAGGAATTCAGGGAAAGGCATGTGTCTGAGCTGGTCCCTAAGAATCCATCCACACAGTGTTGGGGTACCCACTCCTTCTCTTTGGACTCTAGGGCTGTTTCCACTGTTTCCCCTATGCCCCCCGCCTCAGTTCTCTTAGGGACCAGACATGGGTGAAGAGAACTGGATCTCCCAATGCATTCCTGCAGAATCTTCTGTTCTTTCAGTCCCTGGGCTCCTTGGAGGGATGACTGACACAACATCTGATGAATTCATTCACCACCTGTTTGCTATGGTCATACTCTGTCTGCACAGGCTAGATGTTGGGGATAGCAGAAGCCAGAACTTCCACTTTGCCTGGAATTTGGAATCAAAAGCATGTCTGAGAATTCCAGTAGGGTCCTAGTCCTTGAGACCATGATCTCCGTGGTCCTAAGTGCCTCCTCTTTTCTGTTTCCTTACCTGAAGGGTTCAGAATACCAGTTAACACTTCTATAGTACTGTCATAATATAGTACTAAATGTTTGGGGTGTAATGTCTCATTTAATCATAAGTCCTATGAGGTAAGCAGTAGGCTTATCTCCATTGTATAGATGAGAAATCTAGGCACAGAGGAGATAAGTCATTTTTCTTTCTTTTATTTCTTTAAGTTTATTTATTTACTTTGAGAGAGAGCGTGAGTGGGGGAGGAGCAGAGAGAGAGGGAGAGAGAGAGACAATCCCGAGCAGGCTCTGGACTGTCAGCACAGAGCCCGATGTGGGGCTCGAACTCACGAACCATGAGATCATGACCTGAGCCAAAACCGAGAGTTGGACGCTTAACGAACTGAGCCATCCAGGTGCCCCAATAAATCATTTTTCTAAAGAGTACACCAGAGGGATACCTGTGTGGCTCAGTCAGTTGAGTGTCCAACTTTGGCCCCGGTCATGATCTCAAAGTTCGTGGGTTCCAGCCCCACGGTGGGCTGTCTGTTGTCAATGCAGAGCCCACTTCTGATCACCTATCCCCCTTTCTCTCTGCACCTCCCCTGCTTGCTCTCTCTCCCCAAAATAAATAAACATTAGGAAGAAAAAGTACACGAGAAATAAATGGCAGAGCTGAGATTGAAACCCAGGGCACGTGACCTGGGAGCCCCTGTACTAGCCTGCCTCCTTGATTGACCACACAGAATGTCCACTTGATGGGTCGCCTGGGTCGCTCAGTCGGTTAAGCGTCTGACTTTGGCTCAGGTCACAATATCGCGGTTTGTGAGTTCGAGCCCCACATCGGGCTCTGTGCTGACAGCTCAGAGCCTGGAGCCTGCTTCTGATTCTGTGTCTCCCTCTGTCTCTGGACCTCCCCTGCTCATGCTCTGTGTCTCTCAATAAATAAATGTTAAAAAAATTTATTAAAAAAAAAAAAAGAATGTCCACTTGAGCCAGGGACTTAGGAGTTTCCAAAAGGTCCTGTGTCTTGGGTGGTACAGAGGAGAGAAACCTTTTAGCTGAGCATTGGTGCTGGTAATGGTTTACCTGGAGCCCCTGCAGGTCTGGAGTAGGTTTGTAAGGACTACACAGAGCTGGTATGCTTTCCTTATGGCCCTGTGTGTGTGTGTGTGTGTGTGTGTGTGTGTGTGCACGCACACGAGTGCATGTGATTTCTTGAATAAGCCTCACTCACTGAGAGGAACAAACAAGTGTGATGCAAGGAAGAAAGCAACATGGATGTGATGTGCCAGAATCTGGGGATGTGGGAAACCAAGATACCTCTTTTGCTGGGAATCTTTGAGAATAGCAGAGACTTTTATATTTGAAGATTCCAAGAGGAACGGTCCATCTTGGTAGCTGAGTAAGGAACATGGTCAAGTAGCAGAAGCAGTCTTAAGATGTTCCCCTGTCTTCCCCACAGAGGCCGTATCCCAAAGCCACATCTGTGTATCTGACCCCATCCCTCCAAGCAGGCTGGGACCTTGCCCATGATGGGAGCCAGGCCACAGGGCAGAGGTTCCATGGGATTCCAGCCACGTTTCCATTACCTTTCTGAAACTCTAGGTTTTTCACTAGAGCCTCTGCACGGATCTGGGGAGGCCTGAAGCGGTCCCCCTATGCCTGCAGTCAAACCACCTTGTGCATCTGTCTTGGAGGGGGATGGGTGCTGATGCTGGCAGTTAAGGGTAGTGGGTGGCCACATCAAGATAACAGGTAAGCGGGTTGTGACATTCAGAACTATATAGACCTCCAGGCGACTTTTCTGCCACACATACTTTTCTCCCTCGTCACAGGGTAGGGTGCGGTGGAACCCTTGGCATGCCCAGCCCCCTGCCCCAGGCGCTTTCTTGGCCGAGGAGAACAGGTTGTACTCTTGAGAAACCACAAGAGGAAGTTTAGGGAGGGTTGGGGGTGGGGAAAGTTCTGGGGCGGCTGCCAAGTTTCCCTTTCTCTGTTCAGAAGTAGGTATGTTTATTTTGGTGTGTTTCTCTTGCCCTCAAAGACATTTAAATTTTAAACCCTCCGAGTTTCAAAGAGTTGTCAGGACCTGCCCCTGTTACAGTGGTGGTGGCGGTGGGGAGTGAGGGAGGTTGGCCAGAAACCTCCAGGAAATGGGCAAGGTACCCTTTTGTTGGATTTCACCTGGGATTCTCACTGGTTGGTAAAGGCCGAGTGACTTCAGAAGGCCTTCTTTTCTCCTTTTCTCTGCCCTTTCACCTCTCTCTTTCCCAAAGCATTCCCTCCAGCCCTAAACTCAGAGAAATGTGCTTATCATGGCCACCTAGGAGCTGCATTATTCTACCAGGAACGGTCCCAAGTGTTTTACTTGCCTTATCTCATTTGACATTCAGCACAACACCAGATGGTAAATACCTCTAACCCCATTTACAGACGAGGAAATTGAAACCCAGAGAGGCCGAGAAACTTCACCAAAGTCACACAGCTAGTAAGTGGCAGAGCCCGGATTTGAACACTGGCCTATTTGATTTCACAGCCTGTGCTCTTGACATTTAAATTAACCCCCAAATCAGAGCATCAGCGTATATCAGACCCTGAAGAGTAGGAGGTTGAGATCCAAAGAGGCTTTTAAAACGCTGTTGCTAGGGGAGGGGTGGCTTAGGTATAGAATTGGAAGCGATTCCTTGGAAATTAATATATTAACAAAGGATCACCATGTGAAGAAAAGATACAGTGGGTGAGAGGTTGAGGTCAAACTCTGGATGGTTGAATAAGAAGATTTAGGAGGGATATTATAGCTGTGTTCAAATATTTGAAAGGGTGCCTTTGGAAGCCCCCAGGTAGGGGGTGGGGGACTGGTAGAGGCAGATTTCCAAAAAGCATAAGAACTTTCTAGCAAATAATTGCCTAATCCTCGTCTGAAGAAGTGAGCTCCTCGTCTAAGGGAGTCTAGGGCACATGCGTAGGAGGGGCTTCTGTTAAGCTAGGAGAAGACCTCAAAGCTTCTAACACCTCCAGACCTCCCATGTGATTATTCACCGGCTTCCTTCCCCCTTCTGGGTCATCCCTTGGCTGGCCGGGCTCCTTGGCCCATGATGGTCCCTGTCTGTCCACCAGGTGGGGCTGTTGCCCAGAGTGTTGTCCACGGACTGCTAAAATTGGGTAAAGAGCGCCATCTGGTCCTTTAGCCGCCAGCTGGTTTCATGGGTCCTCTCCCCAATTCCATCTCCAACCATCTACACACCAGGGCCCAGGGAGCCACTTTTGAGCCAGTGCAACCCCTATAAAATGCACTCTTAGTCTCCCACCCTGGAGCCCCTCCCTCCCACACCTTTTCCCTATCCCTGACCTTCCTTTGCCCTTGAGCTAGAAGGACCCATGCCTTGAGAGCAGGGGGCCAGGCCAGTAGCCCTCGTGGGCATGGCTTTTCATACCCTTCAAAGGCATGCCATGTCATATCCTTTAAGGGGCCTCAAAAGCTGTGGCTCTGAAACCATTTGCCCTCAGTGGCCACTTCTCCCACCCTGCTTGAAATTCCCTGGAGACAGCCATCCTAAGATGAGAGAGCAGAGGCCCAGGCTTTGTCTAGGAACAAGGGGTAGGAGAGGGGTTGCTTGGTGCCCCCTTAGGCCCTTAGAAAGGTGTAGAGCCAGTGGCCCAGGCACCAGCAGGCAGGGCCCAGTGTGCACAGG